AGCAAATACCTCTTAAAAAATAATAATAATAATCAAATAAAAAATCAATAGAGCTTCAAGGAATAATTAATAAACTGACAATTACAGTTTGAGATTTTAGTATTCAGCTCTAGAATAATAGTAAGACAAGTAAATAAAAAATCTGTCTGGGTCCTCTGCCAATTGGACAGTGCCCACCACATTGATGACAGATCTTCCTTACTCAGGCCACTGATTCAAATGCCTATCTTTTCAGAAAACCCCTTCAAGAAATCACAGAATACCCAGAAACAATGCTTTACTATCAGAGTATACCTTAATCCAACCAAACTGATACCTAAAATTAACCATCATACCATTTAATCACTTCAACAGATGCAGAGGAAAACACTTGACAATAGCCAATATCTTCTTTTTCTAACTTTCCAGAGGGTGTGTGCATTTTCTGGAGAAAGGCAGGGCTGATGGAGTGGGGGTGGATAAGAAAGCACCTCATGTGGGAGGTTGTCACACTGCAATCCCTTCTCCTCCATCTCTCCCTCCTTTCCAGATTCAGGACATCCACACACATGCACCCGGCGAGTTTCTCAAGCCATCAGGTCTGCAACTCGAACCATACAGTTGGCCACATGGGATCCAGCCACCTTAACCACTAGGCTACAGGTTGGCCCTCTAATATCTATTTTTGATAAAAATTCCCAGCAAACTAGAAAGAGAAAAAATTTCCTAAACATGTTGAAGAATGCTATGTTTTGAGTGTGTCCCCTCCAAAATTCATGTTGACATTTGATTATCGATGTGGCAGCATCAGGAGAAGGGGCCAAGTATGTGATGTCTGGATCTTGGGACACCGCCCTCATGAACAGGTTACTGCTGTCTCCAGAGAGTGAGTGGGTTCTCACTCTCTCAAAAATGGGTACATCCTCAAGAGAACCCAGCCTCTAATGGGTCCCTCTTTGCACACTCCTGCTCACCTTTTCTTCTCCATGCTGTGATGCAGCACATGGCCCTCACCAGTGGCAAAGCAGATGCCAGCACCAGGTTCCGAATCTTCCCATTCACCAGAATTGTATGCTAAACAAATCTTTCCTAAAAAATGACCCAACTGCAGAGTCTTCTGTTATGGCAACACAAAACAAATGAAGACAAAAGGCATCTAAGAAAAGCTCATGGCTTAGTGATGAAAGGCAGTGCTTTCATAAAGTCATGAATAAGGCAAGGATATCCTCTCCGTTTCAAATTGTACTGGAGGTTCTAGCCAGTGCAATAAGACAAGAAACAGAAATAAAACACACCCAGATAGAAAAGGAAAAATTTTAACTCTCCTTATTCATAGACAACATGATTGTCTATGTAGAATACCCAAAGGAATTTACCTAAAAAAAAAAAAAAAAACTGTTAGAATCATAAGGGATTTTAGAAAGTTTGCAGGGTACAAGATCAATACACAAAAATCAGTTGAGGGCTGGCTCCATGGCACAATGATAATGTGTTGCTCAAAAGAGACCAGATTCTGTATAATGATGCATTTAGAATTCCCACAGGGGTCAGCACAAGTGCCCATGGCCCATGGTACCAGAAGTCTAGACAAAGGGGTAGGCATGACTAGATTCTGTCTGAAATGCTCATATATCTTTCTCTCTCTCTCTCTCTCACTCTCACTCACACAGATGTGCATACACTCTCTACAATAAAACAAAAACAAAAATAAGAAAAGAATATTCCTCAAGAAACACATTGTTTAAATCAATTGCATTTCTATATACTAGTGATGAACAATTGGAAACTGAAGTTTTTGGTTTTGTTTTTAATTCAATTGTATTTTTTAATTTAAATTTGACCACAGAGGAACAGAGTGAGAGAAAGAAAGTGAGGGAAAGTAAGAAAGCAAGCCACCAGGCCCAGGACTTAAACTGCAATTGGCCATGCGGGAGGCCAGCACCCTCAACCACCACGCTACCTGCCGGCCCCAGAAACAGAAGTTTTAAAAATGTAACATAGAGGGGCCAGCAGGTAGCATGATGATTGGAGCACTGGACTCCCACATGGTTGACTGTGGTTCGAGTCTCAGACCTGGGAGCTTGTTTTCTCACTTGTCCTCTCTCTCTGGTGAGCACACATGTCCCATAGCAAGTGTTAAAATAATAATTAATTAATTAGTTAATTCATTAAAAATGTGACATACAATAACCTCAAAAATATCAAATACTTAAGGACAAATCTTACAAAAGACATGGCCCTGGATTGGAATACTCAATATTGTTAAGATGTCAGTTCTCAAATTGATCTATAAATCCAAGGCAATCCTGATCAAATCCCAGTCAACATTTTTGTAGTAACTGAGAAGCCAAGTCAAACAGGAGTGCAAAGGACCTAGAATAGTCAAAACCACTTTCTTTGAGATTTGTCATCCAATATTAAGCTCTTAGATAATTATTTTGTGGTTTTTTTTTTTTTTGGAGAGATTTTCACTGTAGGGCTCGTGCGCTCGCCAGACAGACAGAGAGAGACAGAGAGACAGAAAGCGAGAAATCACCCCCCATGGGGGATGGTCACGCCGCAATCTCTTCTCCTCCATTCTCCTCTTGGGATCTTGGGCACGCATGCACACGCGCCCGGCGTGAGTTTTAAGCCACCGGGTCCGGGACGCGAACCGCGGTCGACTACGTGGGAGTCCAGCGACATAGCCATTACGCTAACTGCTGGCTCCCATGATTTTGTGTTTAAAAACAAATAGGAAAAAGGAAAACTAAAGCTTTCATTATAGACTCCTTGACTGGAAAGCTCTCCAAATGACGAGTTCCAGTAAACTCTGGTTTTGCCTCTGGAGAGTGGATCTGAAACATTTCTCTCAGGCTTTAATTTGTTAAACCTAGGTACATAAGCTTTTTTAAAACTTAAAAAGACTATTTTAGGGGAGATATAGGTGTAGGATTATTGCTTAAGCAGTTATGTTTATAATGCTTAAGACTATCACTGTTTGCACAAAAAGTTGGCGAATTCCCTCTCTAAATAGTATTGAAATTATTTCTGTCGAGTATATTTTTTATGTCATCTTATAATAAATACTGAGGGAGAAACCTCTTTTGTTTCTATTTATTTAAAAAAAATACTTTGAGCCAGATGGTGATCAGAACAATGGGATCCCATATGACCAACTGCATGGTTTGAATCCCAGACCTGATCGCTTGAAACACATGCCAGGTGTGGGTGCATGTGTGTCTACAATCCCAAGAGAATAAAGGAAAAGAGATTGGAGTATGGCCATTCCCCCCCAGGGGCAGGCGATTTCTCACTTTCTCTCTCTATCTGTATGGTAAGCACATGCATGCTATAGCAAAAATCTTTCTATAGAAAAATAGAAAGAAAGAATGAAAGGAAAAAAAATAAGAAGAAAACCAAGGTGTAAGGACATGTATGGAGTCGGAGCGCAGGATACAGGGGCAGGGGAACTACAAGATGGACATGGAAGAGTAACGCATAACTATGATGGAAGTGTGCGTAATGAGAAGTCCATCGGTCTCTCATGAAGTTAGGCTGTGTCTCTTGAAGACATGAGCAGAATCACCCAGATCTCTGTCTCCTGATAATCCTTTTTGACTTTGGAAACCATGGTCGAAGCAATTATCACTGTCATCATGCTGTCCCAATATAATTCTTTAAATTATTTGTGTGCTCAGAAAAAAAAAAAAAAAAAGAAAGAAAGCCAGGAATGGGAAGAAAGGATGCAAGAGAGTAAAAGTGGCTTTAATTCCTCCTCTAAATAGGGTACTCTCTGAATTTGAGCTGCTTCAGAATCACCAGGGGACTCCATGCCTAGAATGGGTCCAAGTGTCTGTATATTTTTATTTTGTCTTTGTTTTGTTTGAAAAGAGTGCCTCACTGTGTCACTGTCCTCCTGTCTCAACCTCCCCAAGTCACTGAGTTCACAGGTGCACATCACCAAGCTCAGACTTTAGGTAGGACTAGGGGTCAAACCCAGGCCTTCCGGGTGGTCCCTGCCTACAGAGCATAGCATCTTAGCACCACAAGCTACCACAGCTGGGCCCACCATGTTGTTTTTGGTTTTAAAAATTATTTTATATAACTTTATTTGTTTGTTTGTTTATTTATTTATTTATTTATTTATTTATTTATTTATTTTAATTTGACCAGAGAGGGACAGAATGAGAGAGAAGGAGTTGGGAGGAAAGTGAGAAAGCAAGCTATCAGGTCTGGGAATCAAACCGTGGTTGGCCCTTAACCACCATGCCACCTGCTGCCCCTGCCCCCGCCATGTTTTTAATAAACCTCTTAGGCTCCCAAAGTTTCCCCACTGACTAAAGACAGCACCTGTGTGAAATGCCTCAAGCTCTCACTCAGTCCCAAACTTTAGCTTTTCAAGTAGGTGGAAAGGGATCATTTGTTTTCATTGTTAAGGGGTTTCTGATCCCAGTTCATCACGCAGAAAGCAGGGACAGAACAGAGACAGGTTCTGGAGAAAGGAAGATTAAATATTACCTACTACACAGGGGGAAGGGGTACTGAAGGGGCCTCCTCATTGCTACCGGACACCATTCAACAGGACCATAAAACCAGGGCCAGGAATTTAGGAGCAGGAGGACTTTGTCACACGCACCCTTGCACCCTCAGAGTCTTGGCGAGAAGTGAAGCGAGTCCCAGGGCCCCTTGATGTCTCCACCACCCCCGTTCATGTTGTCATGGAAACTTCTGTATGGCTGGGTTCCTGCCCTTGACTGTGGCAAGGCAACCAAAACATTGCAAGGGTTGCAAGAGGAGACTGCAATCAACAAGCAGATGAGGAAGCGCAATGGGTAAACCTTCACCCAGCGAGCCCACTGAAATAGAAACACCAGTGGGCCAGGATGTGGTGGGAGACTGCCCATCACACCATGCACATAGGGCAGATGGAGGAGAGAGATGAAGGAAGGATACAGGTGAACAGGGAGGGCAAGGTCCCAGCCACATCAGGACAACTCCCATGCCCTGTCCAGGAGGCTTATAAAAGTCTAACTGCCTGCTGAGTGGAAGAGGACATCTTTATTGTTTGAGTGAGGAGGGAAGGTGCAGGTGATAACTGATACTTCTGGAAGCCACCAGATTCAGGTTCATTTGTTCCGAGACCAGTTCCCTCCAAGATGGCTGTACTGAGCATCATCCCGGTCTCCGAGGGTCTGAGAGAAGAGAAAAGGAAACAGTGAGGCAGAGCCAGAACTCTCCTGGGGAGGGCCCCAGCAGGCTATGGAGATGATAGCTAATGCCTGACCTCTCCAGACACCCCAGCAATAAATTCCCCACTTGGACCCTCCAAACATACACACAACACCTAATGTTGACGTCTCCATCCCTATTCACTCTTCCTCCCATTCTTGCCTCTTCCTTTCTGGGGCTCACCTGATAGAGTTGATCATTCCTCAACAGAATTTGAGTGTCAGCAGCTGGAAGAAGCAGGGAAAGCGGATCAATGAGGGCCCAGGATTTTTTTGGAAAGAGGATCAATGAGGGCCCAGGAGGAGGCACAGTGAGATGAGGTAGTCCCCCATGAGTGCTGCAGGGGGAACTACAGCTGGTCACACCCTCCCACACCCTCTGGAGTATGGATGAACCATTTGGACACACAAGTTCTTTCAACAACCAGTTGTGGGGATCCTTACAGATTGCAAGGAAATCCCTAGATGAGACTCCTTAGCTGGTGCATGAGCACATTGGTGCACACACACACACGTGCATACATATACACATGTGTGTGCATGTGGTGTCCACCCACTAACCCTCAGAGAGCCTTCCAGTCTCATGTCCAGCAAAGCAGTAGACTCCTAAAGCGAGGAGCAGAGTGGCAATGATGTCAGTGATGATGATGCCAGCCATGGTGGCCGAGTCCAGCTCCACACAATTCTGGCACACTGTGGGGGAAGGGAAGAGAAAGGCATGGTAAAGAGTCTTCATGATCAGGGAAGCTCTCTGCCTCCTAGAACAAAGCCTCTACCATGCCACAACCCAAACTTCATAAGGTCCTGGAGAAAGGCCTACTGATAGCCACATCTACCTCTACCTTTCATCCGGAGAAATCTCAGCAGACAGAAGTCATCTCAGCTTGTGGGAACTTAAATAAGATGGTGGGACAACCACACTGCCAGTGACAAGGGCCTTACTGCTCAGCTTTACTCACTCAAGCTCCGCTCTTACTCTGAGCCCCCCAAGCCTGGCTTGTACTTTCAGAAGAGTGACTCTGGTTTGTTTAGAGAACAAGTTGGTTTAACACAGTCCCCCATGAGCTAGAAAATTCTCACATCTGGAAACCCCAACCCAAGGAAACTCCAACCCAGAGAAGCACATACTTCGATAATATATTTGCAGAGTAGACACTTTTTTGGCAAAGTTGCCTGTCCCTCTACACTGGTATACTCCTCGTGGGTCCAGGATGTATCTTCCCAAGTCCAGCTGTTGTTTATCATCTGAGAAGAAGGTTCCCATCGTCCCCTCTAGCTGTGTGATGCTGGTATTGCAGTTCACCAACACTTTGTCCTCAAGTTCCTCCACAATTATATTGAAGGGGCTTACTAAAGGGAAAAAAAAAAAAAAAAAACAAGACAACCGGAGACAGCTCTTTGTTCTGAACCAGGCCCCTTGTCTTTCTGAGGTTCATAATTAACAAGGGTCACTTTCCTAGTTATGGTTTCTGGTGAGAGGGACTGACATCACAAGAGAAAGGCTTCAGAAAGCCCCCCCCTCCATGAACTGCAGAAGCCAAAGGGGACATAGGGATGCAGTCCAAGAAGGGTCCCGAGGCACTTGGAGCAAAAGAGGACACCATGGATCTGGGTTGATCCAAGGACCTTCTTAGAAGTGAGTTCAGACCACTGATTAAAAGGAGGAAGGGGGCCAGTAAGTGGCATGGTGACTGGGGGCGCTGGACTCCCATATTGCTGACCATGGTTTGAATCTTGGACCTGCCGGTTTTCTCTCTCTCTCCCTCTCTGGTGAACATACATGCCTCCATAACAAATACACACACACACATATATATATATATATATATATAAGAGAAATTTTTGGTATAGGGCATGTGCACTCACCCAAGAGACAGAGAGACAAAAAGCAATAAATCACATATACTCCCACTGGGGACAGCCATGCCACAATTCCTTCTCCTCCATTCTAGTATGATTTGGGGTACTCATCACACACACCTGGCATGAGTTTTAAGCTGCCAAGTCCAAGACTTGAACCACAGTCGACTGTGTGGGAATCCAGCAACATAACCATTATGCCACCTGCTGGTCCCTAAATATATATATACACACACACACATATATATACATGTATATACACACTTATATATGTGTTTACATATGTACATATATACATATATAGGTGTGTATATATATTTGTTTTATATACATATAT